ATGAAACCTGAGCCATTTTTCCTATTCATTTCTCTTTTTTTTTTTGAATGTCATACACGCATGCTAGGGCAGGTAGTTTTTTTATCTACGAGGGGTTGTTGCTTAGCAGTTTCTCTTGTAAATTTGTCTTATTTTTACCCTCGTATGATGAACTCCTTCGAATATCTATTAAAAGGTCCGATGGTATAAATGCTTGAAAAAGTGGAAATAATAAAGCCAGGTAAAAATGAAAAATGACATGTTAGATGACCGTCTGTGTGCATGTCTTTCTTTCCTTTAATGGTTCCTTTTTTTAGGCATTTTTGTGAGAAAGTGTTTTTTTAGTAGAACACCTGCGAGCTAAAGGATTTAATTGAATCAGATGGTCTATTTGGTGTTCTTTCTATCCTGCCTGCACTATTCATTCCTTATGTATCTATCTTTATTGGCCAACGAGAAAATGTCAATAGTAATGTAATTAGCTTATTTAGCTTATTTAATTAGATTTAGGTAGGCAAATTTCACATATTATTTCCTATTTTGTTGCAGCACAACAAACCTTTCTTGAATATATTTGCATTATAACATGAGAGTAGGTATATGCTGCATTTGGAGAATTAGGCATGTTTTGTTTAATTTTCACCAAAGTCTTGATATCTTCATCGCTGATGACTTTGTTACCATTTAAAAATTATTGCTTGGAACAAAATGTATATAGTAACTAACTACCCATCAATGCGTATCGACGTGTGGTCATGGTCAATCGAAATGCGAAGCTAAGATGACGAGTGACCATCACTGACGATAGCTAGTCAGATAAAAGCCGGGGTACCTATGGTAGACGGTCGTACCTCCGCGATGACTCGTATTATTCCGAAGTTATAAGTACTAATTACTGCGGCTGATCTGATAAGCGCCTCATTTGTACAGAAATGTTAATAATGCGTTGATTGGACAAAGGAGGGAGCGAAGACATATCGGTTTGGTTGATTTGGGTTGCTGAGACTATTTATTATTGCTTTTGTTTTACGGTGTCAATCTTTGGGAAATCGGTTGATTGGTTTGGTTGGCTTCGATTTTGTTGGAGGAACCCAGGAACCTATACCTGTGATAAATAAAAGAATTACGTTGTTGAAGCTGAAAATCTGCCTATACATATACTCTATAAAATAATGGAATGATGTAAGTCGTCAAATACAAGCAAAATTTGTACAAGTCAAAGCTGCATTATACACGTAAATTATATATAAGTATCTTTGCCATATTTTTTTGAAGTTTAAACTTCTCATAGGAGTTCGAACGTTTACTTCTTAAATTTGACGCTAGAACTTTGCTTGAATTTAACGTTTTTGAACAGGGGAATTTTGGATAAGTTCAATAGGGGAATTGACACTTCTATCGTGCGTCGTGTCCTCGTGTCGTGAAACACTAACATTTTTTTTATGAGGTTCTTAGGAATCTTAGGAACCAAAAACTATTAATTTTAACGTAACGTATAAGTTTTGAGCACTCCATACAGGATAATTCCAAAATCTTGCATCAAGCTATTATTTTTGTACTTGTTTATTCTCTTATTGCGCAACTCCTAAACAAATAAACAGATTCTGATTTTGATTTCTTTCCTTTTAAAAAATTTATTTTCGACTCTTTTTCCTCAACCCCAACTTCTTTCATACTGCAAACCTTTGAATTTTGTTTCTATTAATACATATCAAGGTTACTGTATCTTGATGACGCATCTGGGGTGCCTTATGGAGATTCCCATTATGTTGAAGCACCCCAGATGACATCATAAAGTTATCCATCTACCTCTCTCAAACAACCTTGAATACATATACTATATATATCCTACTTAACTGCACTTATGTGACAAGGGCGTAGATATGGGGGGGGGGGGGTAGAGGGGGTAATTACCCCCCCCAGGATCTCTATTTTTTTAGGTAAATAAAAAAAAAAAACTAATATTTTATTAGATGAAAAATATTGGGGCTTCTGGGTTAAGTAAAATATTATTATCAAATAAAAATTCTTTGTTCTTTGCAAGTTGCACAACTAGCTGCTAGAATAAGTAGGTATAAATTTATTTTTAGAAAACTGTATTATCTAGTACTGTATTCTGTTGGTAAAAACCGTGCTAATCCACTAACACTGAATCAGTTTAAGTTTAGTACATTCCTAGAAGAACATGAATTTGGCCATTAACACCATTCTGTTGTTTTTTTTTTTCGATCTGCGTTCGGCTTACGTACTTGTTCAGAGCTCACTCTGCCTATGACGTCACGATAGCCATGCTCATACCATTTTGCTCCGTGGAGTACAAAACCGAACGAACTCAGCCATTATAAGGTTGGTAGATTTTTAGTGATGTGCCATCTGTCAATTGTCAAAAAATAGCATAAAACCATCATAAAACTAAGGCTATGGTCCGAATATAACCAAACGTTAACCAAAGCAAAGATTAACCAAAGCAACCGAATCGGTTGACGAAAGGTTACTGAAAATTCCGGTTATACTTGGGAAACGCGAATATGAAATAAAAAATAATTGACAGAAATTACCGATAAAACATTCCCACTTATCCAGAAACCAGAGTAATATGATTACTTTCGGACCGCGAAACCACAACCCTGGTTGTATTCGAACCACAGCCTAAATTTAAAAAATTGTGTACTTAAATAATTATAGTACTAAGGTCAAGTTCTGGAAAAGAAATGAACTTGAAATTTCCCTCCGGACCTCCCCTTAACTTTACCCCCCCCCAGAAATGTAGAGTATCTACGCCCTTGTTATGTGAAAAAAATTTACTTCTATAACAAATCAAATACAATAATGAAGCTATGACTACGAGTGCGGAAAGAGTAACTTTTCTGCACTAGTATGGAAATTTTTTCCACTCGTAGGAGAAGTACCTATTCCTAACACCTGCGGAAAGCTAGTATTTCTCGTTCCCGCACTAATTAGAAGAATACCTATTTCCTACTAGCTTGCGGAAAAAGGACTTTTTTCGCACGCTCGTAGGAAATATTGCAATCTTAAGACTTGTGGAAAAATTATATTCTATGCACTCTTCGACCTATGCACTCGAATACTGTATAGGAAATTACAAAACTATTACCGCCATCTAGGAAACAAAATGTTTACTTGGTTGGACGGCGCGAGTAACTTTCAGCGAATAAAGTTCACACCAATCACACAGAGAGCGCAGCTAAGATTTCGAGAGAAAGATGTCGCTCAGTTCCAAGGTGAAGGCTAAGGCCGGCCACACACGTTCAGTTTCAACTAAAGTTTAAGTTCTCTTAATTATTTGAACTGTTCGAGTTCCTGTGCATAGTTTAACCTCTACGTGCGTGGGTATTTCAGTTTCAGTTCAACTCAACTGCACAGTTACACTGAATGAAAAATAAAATTCCAATTTTTTTTTAACTGCAGGGTTCAACCAATGAAAGTTGCGAGTTGCATGTAGGAACATAGGAACATACTGTATGTACATACAGGGTGAGTCACCATATTTTGCAGCCGTGATTACAGGTGATAGGTGAAAGGTGAACCGCCTGAATTTTTAATAGTCTATACCATTTCCAGTTCCAGGATTATTTCACACTAGTGAAATTTGATTTCAAATTAATGAAAACTAAATTCACATCAGTGAAATCTAATTTCGCTCAAATGAAAATTGATTTCAAAGTAACGAAAACTAATTTCTCACAAATGAAATTTGATTTCACATTTTTGAAAATGAATTTCAAACTGACCCTAATTAATACTTATTTTTCAAATATTTATTATTCCAATTTGAAAAAAAAAACATCAACAACGTTATTTATTTCAACCTAATGAAATAAACCCACTGAGTTTAGAAAACTGTGGTTTAGATAACATAAAATTCAATCACGAAACAATAATAATAATTATGAATTATTTAAATAAATTAAACTTCAGTTTGGCAAATCACGTGGAAAGGTAGGTATAATGCAGCTATCTCAAGAGTGAAAAGATTCAACTGAAGTTCAATTTATTTAAATAATTTATAATTGTTATTGTTAATTGTTTCATGATTGTATTTTATCTAAGTGAAGTTCGTGCCAACGGCGCCCGCAGAATTTTTCACAGGAGGGGGCAAATAAACTGCTCTTGGGGGAATCGTGGAAAGCGCACCGCAGGCGGAATTTTTTTTTTGGGCCACACCCAAATTTTGCTAATTGTAATTAATATAATAAACATCTATATATATAAAACACAGTTGTGTTTTGTGGAAGCACTTATAACTCGAGAACGGCTGGACCGATCTCCTTGAAATTTAAACCACGTAGTCTCTATCTGAAGGGAAGTGACATAGGCTACTTTTTATGCCGGAAAAAATATTTTTAATTAATTAATAGTTATAAACAAACTCATTCACAACTTTTTTTGTTGAGAACATGAAACAACGTTGCCACATTTATTTGAGCTTGTGCATTCAACCGACGCGACGTAACTGTATTATTTTTTAGAACACAAGAACGACTGGACCGATCTCCTTGGAATTTATACCACTTAGTCACTATATAAAGGGAGTAAGTATAGGCTACATTTTTTCTTGGAAAACAAAATTATTTTTTAATTAATTATAAACAAACTTATTCACATATATGACCCAACTTTTTTTGACAATATGAAACAACGTTGCCACATTTATTTAAGTAAACAATGAAAACAATACACAGAAACATATAACCTCAATAGCAAAATAGCACCATTGGCGACGTTGCCGTTATTTCCAACTTCATGGCTTGTAAGTGTAGAGGGCTGTGGCCCAACCCAATACTTTGAAAAGATTTCGAGACACAGGTAGAGTCGGCGTCAGAAGTAAAGACTACGGTAACGACATAAAAAGCTGCGCGAAGCGGGTCGGATCTCTCTCCCTCGTCTATCTCTCGCTGTCTGCCGTGACCTCGGCCGTGAGCTGCCATTTGTCAGTCAGTGCGCACTGAGTGTATCCGCATCTTTTTCGAAAAGCATATAACATGTAAGGATAAGGATACATTTTTTTTGCACCGACAAATGGAAATCGCTACAACCCACCGTCCTCGTTCCTCGTCCTAACCTCAAAAAGAGCAAAAACAAAACAAAACCAAAACGTTTTTGTTTGAGAATTTGAAAACATTTTCGAGAAAAATACTTTTAATTTTCCACCAAAAAAGCTCTAAAAATGTCTGAAGGAGGTAGCGGAGGCAGCAAAGATACAAATACAATGAAGACTCCAATGGTTTATATTTGTGGGGGTAAAAAAAAACAGATGAATACTCAATACTCATATTTATTTAACTTGTTTATCATTATTTAATTAGTTTAGTGAAAATTATCGGCGAAGAAGAGAAGCTTGTTAGAGCAGATTCCCTTCAAAATCCGTTCTCAGCATTATTCACATTTGTTCTTGTTTTCTTTATTTTGTGTACAATCTTCTGTTGGTGATATCCAGTATTCATGTCAAATCTTACCTTTTAAAAATCCCCTGTTTTAAAGCCACAAATATTCAAAACTTAACCATTCTTCAATTTCTTTTTATTTCAGAATGTCACAATGAAAATGAAATCAGACCACGAGATCCAATCCGTTGCCGTGAATGTGGTTACCGTATTATGTACAAAAAGAGGACAAAAAGATGTATCCTTTTATGCTATGATAATTTTTGACCTTTTAGGAAACAACCCCTACTTTTCATGACAATACTTTCCTTAACACATTTCCACAGTGATCGTATTTGATGCAAGATAAATTTACTACAAACGAATGAGGACCCAACTGCTAGATTAAGATTTTTTTTCATTATATTACTTAAAAACTAAAAATTAGTTTACAACAAAATAAACAATAGTTATTTGTATAAGTATCTACTTTGTTTCCATATTTAATAAAACATCCTATACATTAGAGAGTCCTAGGGCTCCTGAATTTAGTCCTACAAAGGATCATGAGCTCTGGAGGATTAGTCATCATGGATTCTGGATTTTGAAGGTGAAACCACTGGTTATGTCTTGCCATTTACCTTATCTGGATCATGATCAAGAGCCACATATATCTGGACACTACCCCAAATGAAATCGGTGTGAAAATTATTGCTAAAACTGAATGTACTCTTAGAATAGTAACAAATTGCCCTATTCAAGAAATGACTTGAAACTGGAAGATAGTAGGGAGGGATGGCCTGTCAAAGAATATCCTAACCTAAGTTCTTTTGCTCCATAGTCCCTGTCCACTGTTTGTTTACAAAGTTTTTTTAAGTATAACTAGTATAAGTTAAAAGTTTCAAAAGAAGTTATGGCCGAAAATGCAGCGAATTTTACGACAACATACCAAAGCAAACCATCAATATTCGAAGTTATAGCAGAAAAATCACTAGATGATACTTTGTACCCTGCACTCCAAAAAGTAGCCTTATTTCTATCCTCCAGCTTCCCTAGGAAGTTTGGCTTTTTAAATTTTTACTATGATGAAGCCTTTGCTACAGTCAACACACTACTACAATATTATTATTTGAAATATTACGGTAAAAAAATTAATCCAGTGCAAATGATCCAGCAGAAAATCCTCAGATTTAAACAGGGAGTCTTTATACATTTTTGAGGTCTAAAATTTACTGTTGGATCCTTTTGAATATCATTAGTCTATTAATTAGTTAATTGTTTTAGATGCATCATTCTCAGAAAATTTCTATGGCCTCAAACGAATACTTTTAAATGACAAACCCCTTACTAAACATGATAAAGAACTTTCACTATTGTTATTGGTAGCTGCACCATATTTTAAGAGAAAAATTGAAGAAAAACTACAATGCTATAGAATAGAACAAGCAGAAGGATATTTAAGAAAAGTAAATTATATTATATCCAACAAAATTTCCACAGTCTAAGCTATTGAAATTGTTTTCAGGATTTTGAAGGTATAAGAAAACAATTCCTAAGTTACAGCCATTCAGCATTTGAAGTTTTATGGCACCTATGGATCTTGAACAATTACCTTCGCTACATGGGAGGCAAAACTGACTCTCAATTACCACTATTACATTTACTCAATTTGAAATTAGTTTATTCTAATGAGCAACCAAGTCAAAGTTTTTGGATGGAATTGTTCAAAGGCAACTTAAGAATTTCAGATTTGAGTTTCGGTTTAATCAGAAATGGTGTTAGTGCAGTATTGGAAACCAGTGCATTTTTCTTGCAATTTTTGCAAGCATGGAATGCCCATAGGCCTAATTATAATATAACTGATTTACCGAAAGTTGATGCTCCATCTGTAAGTAGCCCGTAATATGAAAATTTATTTTCTTTGAAATTAGTTTTTAGTGTGATATTAAAGCGAATACGTACAGAGGAAAATGTCCCATTTGCTTGCAAATTTGGCTTATACCAACAGTTCTTCCAATATCTGGGTAAGAAGACAATAATTAGATCCTAGTAAACTGGGTTGTTCACAGGTTCAATTTTATTTTAAAGGTATATATTTTGCTTTAAATGCATTTCAAAGCACCTACAAGAAAAAAAGAAATGTCCTGTGACAAATTTACCAGCAAGACTTCAGGATGTTGTCCGGCTTTATGTTGATAGTTAGTTTTATACCAAAAAATGTTTTTTTCATGAACTTTGTTACGTTTTATGCTCTTAATTAATTATAAGTTATTGTTTTATTAGGACATAATAATTTTCCCACAAATGCAATAACCATCTGATACACATAAAAGTTTCCAAGTTATTATAGGAATTTAAATTATTAAAAAAGGGATAAAATAAAAAAAATCCAAATTTCACATATTTATTTATTACACCTATAAATTTAAACCTGTAAAAAGTAATGAACATGCAGAAAAAAAGAATACAGGAAACAAAAAAACTCACAATATGATGGAAAAATAAAACACAGAAAAAAAGGAAAATACCTGTTTCAACGTTTTCCTTCCTTGAGGGAATCCTATCCTTTATAATCCTTTTAAGAGTTTACGATTTTATCCTTAAGGGCGAATTTAATTATGGAGGAGGGCACTTTTTCTGTCTAGCGAATAATCCTGAATCGAGGAGAACAAATCAAAGAATGAAATCCTTAGAGCTCCAACTTTATTATTTTATTTAAGAATCCAAGAGAAATTCCAAATGGACAGGAAAGCTTTTTCCAGATTTTCAGACCTGGGACAAAACAGTAAGTATTTATTTTTTTAATGTTAGAAAAATGTGTGCGTTTTAATTCCTGCCTCAAAATTATAGATTTTCAAGTTATTTATAAAGAAAAATATTTTAAGGCAAGAAACAATTAAATAGGGATTAGAGCACATTTTGGTTTTAGGTGTTTTTATTTACCCTTTTGTCCAGAATATTCCTTAGGATCCTTTTCATTCCTTTTTTTCTGTCCTCACTTGATATGAGATCCTTATGATTTGAATGTATCCATTTATCAAAATGAAGCCCAGATATTTGATATTAGTTGTGTTACAACAAGAATCACAAATTTTTCAAACCAATCAGATACTCGTTTTCAAAATATCTTATTAATCAATTAATTTCTAATTTCTTGTTGGAACAAACATATCGGTACATATGTATTTTGAATTATTTAAAAAATGGCCCCCAGGTAAAATCACTTTAAGAAAATCCCACCCTTTAAAAAATCCATATTTTCCTCCTTGTCCGCATTATCCGAGGTGTCCCTCCAATTTTTAACAAGTCCCAGTATTTTCCTTTTTAATCCAACGTTGTTTTCTCCAACATTAAAAAATAAAATACAGCATTAGTTAATTGTATTACACAATATTGTATAGTTATTATAGTTTTGTATGTATCAGTTTAATTGAATTCTTTTGAGGACTTGATCTAGCTATTTATCCCCAATTCAAAGTCAGTAATTTTATAATAAAGTTTAAAAAAAAGATTCCAATAACACTATTTGGACTTTTCCACCACTGTCACAATAAAAAAAAGCATATGGGCAAATTCTTACTAAACACTAATGGGCTTCATTACTAAGCCTAATTCTAGTCTAAAAAAAAATGATATTTATGCAATATAAAGTGCTTTTTGTCAGAGCCAAATTATTCTTCACAACCTAGAAAGAAATAAAATTGTAAGACAAATGGTGGCATTCATGGTAAAAACAATAATTTTTCCCCAGAAAATTTAAAAAAATAAATAAATAAAAAAAACCCACTTACACAATAAAACACCTTAGGAACGGGATCTGCTCCTGGAATAGCTCCTCTTGACTGGACTGTAAGTTGGAGAGCCTCTTCTGCGGGGCGAGAACGAGCGCGATCTAGACCTACCACCAGATCTACGGCTGTCGCTGCCTCCTTTGTCTTCTTTCACACGAATGTACGCTACTTCTCCCTCATGAGATCTGAATCTCGAATCGTCCAACTTCTTAATGGCATACTTCATGTCTTCGTACCTCAGAAACTCTACAACTCCAGAGCCATCTTTGAAGGCATCAGCAAAACAAACATCTCCAGCTTCTCTCATATGATCCTGGAATAAGTCAATAAATGGGATTACCATTTTTTTATCAATTAAAGATAGGATACAATTATATTTTTATATATTCAGGATGCCTCGAAAGATGCTTGTCCAATTGTGATTTTTAAAATCTTTGTTACTATGGGTACTTTCATTTAATAGGCTGAGTTCGTTTATTACATCTGCGAGCAAAAAGAGCAAATTTTGACAGATGTCACATGATTTTACACGTGAAAAAAGATAAGTGATCATGTGACGTCCGTCAAAATTTGCTCATTTTGCTTGCAGATGCAATAAACGAACTCAGCCAATATTACTCAGCAATTGCAAACATTCACTTGTTCAATTACTGGTATAAATTCAAATTAATTATCAAATACACTACAGAAAATTTGAACACCTAGTTCAGATGCTTGCTGACAAGAAAATAGAAAAATGTAAGTGAAAAAATTGCTGTGAAGTGGGCTTATCAAATTCTAGGTTTCAAGTAAAAATTGCTAGAAAATGTTTACCTTCAAATCTTGCCATGAACCACTAGGAGGCAGTCCTGTAACCAAAACTCTGTACTGACTTCTCCTGGCTGGCGGTCCTCTGTTGCCACGTCCACCTCTGCCGCCTCCTCTGAAACCTCCACGGCCTTCTCCTCGTCCGCCACTGCTGCCGCCACCGCCACCACTGCTTCCACCCCCTCTTGGAAATTCAACTCTGAGCCTGTAACCGTCGTAATCGTAGCCGTCTCTTGCGTGTACTGCATCTTCGGCATCCCTATATTTCGAAAAATATTATTTTTATTTATTTATTTATTAAATTCAATTTGGGGCCTAGTTAGTAACATTTTTTTAAATAAATCCAAGAGACCCCCCAATATCCAAGAGACCCCTAATAACACATTTTGTAAAGTTTTGACTAAATTTGATAACGTCAACATAATTTCGACTGAAATTGAGAATTGAGGGATTCACGTTCATATTAAAAATTTCTTTGAGGAACTTGAAGACTCCTAACCTAACAAAAATCAATTAATGGTTGGGTATCTACTCTACAACAGGGCTAGGATAAAAATTCATGCTCAAAACAAGAAATGATCATCCAAAAATCACTCGCACCAATTTGTAGCACTACCAGTAGCCAAAGAGTTCCTAACAGAAAAAAAGCCTCTACAAGGGGGGCCTTTTTATTTATGGCTGCTCTTTTTAGAGGGCCTGAAAATGCCGCCTATGGTTCCCTACAGTTTGCATATTCACATTTACAAAAATGAAGGAATTATAAAGGATATTTCAATGGTATTTTATCAGACTTACAATTTTCTTCTGGAAGACATGATGCTGGGTCCAGGTCAAAAAACAAAAAGAAGCGTACAATTCACTACACTACTGAACGGCTTGGCTTTTAGGCGGCCATTTTATTTTATTCCGCCGCCTTCGCCATAATTTTTGAAAAATTACAAACAAAAATACTATTTTGAATATAGAGCCTCATTTACCACAGAATTAATTAAAATCGATTTTGAGTAAATTCGTAAGCTTCTTACCTTGGATCTTCAAATTCTACGAAGGCGAAAGGGGGCCCACGTCGATTTTTCAAATCTACAAACGTCACCTTACCAAACTTGTAAAAAAGGTCTTGTATATCCTTGGTGCGTATATCTGGGGGCAAATTTCCTACGTAGATTCTGCAATCGTTTCTTCCGCTCGACATTTTTTATAGTTTAATATGAAAAGTTTATGGGAATCGAGGAAAACCTTTCAGGCAGGACAGCAGGGCTGGAAATACAAAACAAAATCGAAAATTCCTAAGATCCTATTAAAAATGGTTGGCATCAAATCAAATCAATCCAAGAGGTGACGTCACGATTAGGGCAATAACTTTCTAGTACTAACCTACCTGGTTGATTTACATCCTTGTTTCAATCAAGGAGAATGACAAAGAGAACAACAAGTTAGCGATTACGAAATTTTGAAATAAATGAAATTATTTGCTATTCTTCTTATTTCCTGCTGTCATCGTGCTCCGTGCTCCACAAGTTGTATTCCTTTCAAGAGTTTAGAACACTTAGAGCTACTCGCTCCGGTGTTAGTCGACCCCGATTTGAATAAAAGGAACAAATGCGCTGGCTTTCGTGCATGGTTGTATTCCTTTCAAGAGTTTAAAACACTAGAGCTACTCGCTATGAAGGCAACTTAGCGCGGATTAAGTGCACTTTATGGTCCCCTTGATCAATAATCTAGTGAATAAACAAGTTGTAATGTTGTGAGGAAATTTGAAAATGAGTTTAGGTTGCTGGATAACACAAGAACAAATCGCGTAAAAAATGTGAGAGATGCAGAAAATGTTGAAGCTGTAAGTCCAATTGTTCGAGATAATCCAAATTTGACTCTAGATGTCGTTTTCAGCAACAATTATTTATTCCCAATAATCATCGAAAACCAACTGGAGGGATTTTGCTTCCATCAGGATGGCGCTACGTGCCATAAGGCCGTTTTACAGCTTGCAAGAAAACTTGAATGCAATTTTTTGCATGCAAATAAATTGCATTCAAGATTTCTTGCACGTCGTTTTACACCTTGCAATTTGACTTGTTTCTTTCTCTAACCTTAACCATACTTTTTTGTTTTTAATGTTGTGTTGTTGTTGTTTGCATTTTCCAAAAATAAAAACAGTGATTATAAGTCGATATAAAAAGAAGAAATCAATAGCAGCAACTTTAAGCATCATAATTGGTAAAAATTCCCCAGCTTGCACGAAAACCTTCAAGAAAAATCGCACCAAACCGATTGCATGCAATGCCATTCAAGTTTCAAGAATCTTGCAGAAACCAATCAGCTGACGCACTTCTGCGCATGCCCTCGTTCAAGTTTCTTGCATATTGCAGTTAGAATTGCAAGGCAAGCTGTAAAACGGCCTATACTGCCAACAAAACAATGGCGTTATCGCAAGAGCGGGTATTCCTGAAATACCGGCCCAAATGTGTGAAAACCTAATGATAAATTAGACTGATCGAATTCACTATTGTGAAGAAAGTCGTGGAGGCAGAGACGGATGGGGCCCCTCAGACTGGCGCGGGAAGTCGATTGAAACGGCGCCGCGCCTATTTAGCAAAAAAAAGTGGAAAGCACGAGCGATCGACTGCTGCGCATACCCTTCTTTCGAGTTGAATAAAGACAAGACGACGAAATTACTCTATTTGCCGATAATCGGAGCCGCGCCGCTCGAAGGTCAGTTCTCACAGAAATCACAAACCAGTCACAGCTTTTTGATTTGCGCAATTCGCCAACAACCAGTTTTCTGACTATTTTATGGTATGGGCGCTTACGGCATTACGGATTTACAGAGTTCGAATTGCAAAGTTTCCAATTGCCAAATCAATTAATAAATTAGCTATTTGGCATTTTTCTTTCTCAATCACTCTCGAAGTTCCCGCGACGACGCCAATCGGCGCCTAATGGGAAATGGGAAATCTCCCGGCATCCCAGTAAGGCCATCCGCCCCTGCGTGGAGGACATTTCACCGATAATTTTTAAAACATAAACGTAATAAGTTGGTCTTTCAAATGAAATGAAAACATTTTGGCAACACAGCAATGTCTGTGTTAAGCCTAGTACTCATAACTGCGAAATTCGCACTTTTTTGACATTGCTTTGACAATTTGACGTTTTATGCGTGTATCAAACGTCAAATTGTCGGAGCAATGTCAAAAAAAAACGAATTTCGCAGTTATGAGTACTAGGCTTTATTCATGTTTAACCATTGAACTAAACAAACAACAAACCAGTATTGCCAATCTGAATTTGTGAAATTACACGATATGCTGGTCAAATTACACGTTTTTACACGCTTTCATTTCTCATAATTACACGATTTTTACACACGATCTTGGTACCAATGTAACATCAACAAACAAGTATAGTGATGGGACTTGAACATCGATGTTATTGCCTTCGATATTCGATGTTTTAGCATCGATGTCAGAAGTTACAAAACATCGACATATCGATGTTTAAACCATCGATATTTAATGTTGCGAAAAGTACGCAAACCTAGACTCAGAAAAGAAAAGGAAAAGATTATCAGCCTTGTTATTTTTACAGTTTGTTGTAGGTCGTATTTTTTGGGAACTCGAGGATCGAAAGTAGTTTTGGTATTGATATAATTTGATTCCTATTCATTCTGTAATTATTTTATTCGTGTTTTTGCTATTCTTTCAGAATAATGTTTTTTTTATGTATCTTTTTTTTATAAATGTTAATGTGAAGAACACCAAAAAGTATCCAGAGAAACATTCTCAACATTGAATATCGATTGGTATCGAGCGATGTCACAACCGATGTTCAACATCGATGTCTGAGCACCGGAGCACCGATGTCACATCACTAAACAAGTATAATTGTTTTTTGTCAATTTGGGAAATGGGTTAAATCCAGTCAAATCTGAGGGTTAATGCTCCTGATCATCGCTCCTCAACCAAAAATAAAGATGTGGCAACAACAAAAAAGCGTTCCGAAACTAATCAAATCACTAATTACTTTGGATCCTGGAAAGAGGTTACTTTTGGACCACAGTTTCCTGCAAGCATACTACACACTACTACAGGATAGCCTATCCTCTCAAGGCCTGTGTAGTTCAAATCTCAAGCTCCCCAGCCACGCCAAAGTACCAGTGGTAACATAGGCAGCGTGTCATTTCTCGTCTTCATTAATTAACATTATAAAACAACTCTTTGTCATATCTCGTTTGCATCTTCCGCTTCGCCTATAATCAAACTTAATTAACATTTTTTCATCATAAATTTAAAATGACCGCTGACGCAAGCAGCTGACCAGCTGACGACTTAGTTAATGACGTCGGCAATGGTGCTAAGTTATATGACCGCGATAACTAAAACCGAAGGGTAAAGCACTGTCCTACGGACAAAAAGGAGTAAGAACACGCGATTCTGCTATGAAACAAGTGAAGCCAGTTTTTGGCAGGATTTTCCAACTCCATGTTCCTACTCCTACCACCTAGGAACTTACCTACTCTAAGCAGGTATACATAAAAAAATTGGATCATGTTTTGTACGACAAAATATTCTATGGACAAAATGTCTTTGAAAAAATTAAAAGCTTCGACAATAATTATTAATATTTATTTACAAAAGGTGGAAGGTGCTAAAATTAGAGTTTTTCCTTTGTGTTCTTGTATATTAGTGCAATAATAAATATCCACCAATGCAGTAGAGCATTCCATTTAGGTATTTGGCGATTTGTATTTCTTTTACTGGATCTTGGATCTTTTACCAATATCTGAAATTGTGTAAGACTATTTTTTTATATTATGGAAGAGAAAAACACATGGCTTTAAGAAAACAAATAAGTCAAATGCGAAACTAGAAAAAAGACTATTCACTATAAAATGTCCAGTTACAATTTCAAGTTATTTCTTACCTCATAGATAAATGCCATAAGTTTCTTGCATGGAAGAGAAAACCACATGGCTTTTATAAAACAAATGAGTCAAATGGGAAACTGGAAGAAAGAATAATTTCACTATAAAATGTTCCAGTTACAATTTCAAGTTATTTCTTACCTCATATATAAATGCCATAAGTTTCTTGCTTGAAAGAGACAAACACATGGCTTGAATAAAATAAATGAGTCGAATGGGAAACTAGAAGAAAGAATAATTTCACTATAAAATGTTCCAGTCAATTTAATTTTTTTTTTACCTCATGTATAAATGGAATGAGTTCCTCGCACAGGATTTTGGTAAAATAAATTAGGCAAATGGAGAAAAAATAGAGTCAACAGGGAACTACAAAACAAAAATAGTAATTTAGAAAATACCTTATTTAGAAATAGGGTATTGCTCTACCTTATATTATATTACATAAATGATAAATATTATTTGGAAGAGTACTTTTTTACCAATTCTGGAATCATATGTTCCTGGTAAAAGTTAGTCAGTTTTGGTAACATTTCCTCATTCCAAAACCGTTCATCTCGTAGGATGGCATCAACATACAAGGGTTGCTCATCATTTATATAAACCAGAAAAAAAGCAAATATTTTTTGCAGATGTTGAGTTGTCCCTGGACTTGAAAAAGTCATACTCAAAAATTGGCCAATAAAAAGCTTATATTGCAATGATTACGTACTTGGTAATAATAGTGGTGTTTTCTTTTCAATCTCAGTTGTTCTCTTTCTGTTTGTGAGACATGCCTTTCCACACACAAAGTCCTATCTGTTAAAACTGCCTCTTCTAAAGTTTTGCCAGATTTGTGGACCTTGTGTAAGCATTTAATCTCCATAACACCATTCAAATTCACCAGTGCTAAAAAAAATTATGTATTAGTCAAATAAATATGTATGTGCATACACATACAAAGCAACTTAACATTATTTCAACTTACCATCAGGGGTTGCAGCAAGATAATTATAAGTGGGATCAATAAACAGTCCACAATCCCGAACTGTAGCCTGCCTCTCCTTGGCAAATCTTTCCCGCGCCACAGCTTCTTGGACTTTGCCATAGTTGATGGCGACAATTCTGATATTGGTGGGATTTATAATCCTTTTAACCAACTTGTCGGGAGCAGTGGATTGCCTTTTCCGGCAGACTTCACCAAAATTGGATGCTGTAAGGCGGTCCTTTCGGTGAAGTTGGTAAAGCCTATTTTCCCACTGGCCAATGGTTTGCTGCTCTACGATGGAGATGTTGTTCGGCAGTACCTAAAAACAAAAATTACTCAGAATAATAATTACAGATACACCTGGAGATAAACATACCTTCAGTCTATTC